TTACCAAACGCGTAGATAAGAAAAAAGTGCTTATAAGCCAGTTTGACCAGCTTATAAGCTTAGCCAAACACCCTCATATTATCACATATTCATTGTCTACCACTTTAGTATAAACCATTTATCCACCTCCACTGAAGAAAAACCGTCTCTCAGTAAGACTTGTTCAAATTTCTCATACCATTGCTTAGGAGCTTGTTTAAGGCCATAAAGAGATTTAATTAATTTACAAACTTTATTTTCTTGTCCAGGAATGACAGAACCTTCAGGTTGAACCATATAAATTTCTTCTTCTAAATCACCATTTAGAAAAGCTATTTTGACATCCATTTGATTAGGAATGGCAATGGGGCGGGGCGGGGCGGGTTGGAGCTTAACCCGCAAAATTTCAACCCGCCCCGCCGCGCCCGCATAGTAGTTTTTTCTATTTTTAACCAGCCCCTCCCCGCCCCGCCCCGCAATTTTTTTTTCATTTTTTTTGCTAAAGAAATACAAGTTTAATATTTCACTTTTTTCAGTTTCTTAAACCCCTCATATGGATCCAAATATTAATTATATTTCTATTTTCAGAGATTATAAATCTGTGCATGCATTTCTAATTCATTACTCTTAGCGCATATATTTACATAAATCTCTGTCTTTTAAAATTTTCCCAATGAATGTATTTATCATAGAGTTTGCCAAATGCTGCGAAAAGGAGTGGACAATAATATTCTTTGATAATCTGGAGCAATGTGATCAGCAATAACTGAAAAAGAAATTCTTTGATTCTCACATTTTTCATTTCCCACAATCGAGAGATTGAATGAAATAAAGAAATAGAACGAGGGAACATCAGTTGAAAATTGGAACAGGAAAGCTTGAATTGGAGCTTATATACAAAGATCAAGTTCAGTGCTATGAGGAAACCCGCAACCGCCTCGCCCCGCAGTAGTTTTTGAAAAAACAGTTTCAACCCGCCCCACACCCGCCCCGCACCCGCATAAGATCAAACTCACCCCGCCCCACATAAGATTAAAACCGCCCTGCCCCACACTCGCACCGCCCCATCGCCATCCCTACATTTGATGGATAAAAAGCTTATGGATAGAAGCTAAGGCAATTAAAACTCGAATAGAAGAAATTCTAGTCACCGGTGCAAATATATCAAAATAATCTATATTTTGTATAGCTGATCTTCCTCAACAAATTCAGGTTTTTTCTCTCAAAAAAGTGGGCTTATTGAATATCATATTGGTTTGGCTTTGTTCACTTTCATTTTATTAGCAGTAATGTTTTTGGTTGTCTTGTAGTCTTGCTTGCTTTCGGATAAGAAAGACTAGTCACTTTAACCTACCTTCCTAGCTTTAGTTGCCTTAAGGCTTGTCTTTCTTTCAGAACCTTGTTACTTTTAAGCTTAGCTGGTTTTTCGCGAAATCTATTTCAGTAGAGCGTATGATGTCGATGGACTGAGGTAGAGCACTCAATGGGCTAGGGTGGCCTCATTTCGCCTTACCAACCCCAGGGAAACTCCGAATACAGGCCTAGATCGTTTGTATAGACAGACTTTTTGGGCGTCCAGTAGCGACGACTGTCTTTTTGATTGGTACCGCAGTCGCCCTTTGGTTGGGCATTGGTGCAACATTACCTATTGATAAATCTCTATCTTTAGGTCTTTTTAAAAATTTTAAATTGATTCAATTGTGAAATAACACGACCTTTTGCTACTAATCGAGCTTTATATTTATCTAAAGATCCATCAGGATTAAATTTCTTTTTGAAAATCCATTTACAACCAATAGGCTTTGCACAGGAGGTAAATCAGTTAAAATCCATGTATTATTTTTCTTAATGGAATCAATTTCAACTTTTATTGCCTCTTTCCAATATTTAGCATCTGAAGAAGATATAGCTTCAAAATAATTTGATGGTTCATTATCGACAAAAAAAGTTTGAAAATTATTTCCATATGAAAAATATTCTTTCCTAGGCCTTTTGCTCCTTCTCAGTTCCTCATTAGAGGTAATTTTATTATTTGTTTCAACAGGTTTATGAGAAATTTTTTCAGACAGTGGATAAATATATTCAAAGAACTCAACATTCTTTGTCTCATTTATAGTATTGCACTCAAGCACATCACTTTTTAAAACAAGAAATCTATATGCAGCACTATGTTCAACATATCCAATAAGCATACAATCAGCAGTTTTGGAGCCTATTTTTCCCTTTTTAGGTTCAGGCAAAAGAACTTTAGCAAGGCACTCCCGCACTTTTAAATATATCAAGTTAGGTTTATAACCCTTCCATAATTCATAAGGAGTTTTGCCGGTTCTTCTATGCGGTATTCTATTTTGTAAGTGACATGCAGATAAAATAGCTTCACCCCACAAATTATCAGGAGCATTAAAACTAACTAACATAGAGTTCATCATCTCTTTCAATGTTCTATTTTGTGTTTCAGCTACTCTATTTGAATCAGGTGAATAAGGCGGAGTTACTTCATGAATTATTCCATTCTTTTCACAAAAATCATTTAAAAAGATAAATATTCTCCACCTCTATCAGATCTAATTTTCTTGATTTTTTTACTAAGTTGATTTTCAACCTCAATTTTATAAGAAATAAAAGCATTAAAAGCATCATCTTTATTTCTAAGCAAATACAACTTAGTATATCTAGAAAAATCATCAATAAATGTCACATAATACTTTTTACCACCTTAGTCATAGTCTGCTTTAAATCACCTAAATCAGTGTGAATCAAGGATAATAATTCAGTTTCTCTATTTACAGAAAAACAAGTCTTTCTAGTACTTTTAGCTTCAGCACATATTTCACACTTGTTAATATTATTTGAGTCTAAACTAGATATTAATCCTAACGACTGCATTTTCTTTATATATGCGACATTAACATGTCCTAGTCTAGCGTGCCACAAAGAAATTGACTCAACCATATAAGCAGAAGAAGATGCATTTTTATTGCTGGTATCAAAAATATTAAGCACAAATAAACCATGGTTACAATATTCATTGCCTACAAAAATATCATTTTTGCTCAATACGACCTCATTATTTTCAAATGAAACCTTCACTCCAACTTTTCCTAATAACCCCACAGAAACCAAATTGGTTTGGATATTAGGAACATGCAATACATCACTCAATGCTAGAGTTTTACCAGATGTGAGTTTGAGAAGAATACACGAGTTGTTCTTGAGTCACCAAGATAAATAGTTTCTTCTCCTTCCTCAACTTGCGTGTAAGACAACAATTCATTTTTATTTGCACAAATGTGCATAGTAGCACCAGAGTCTATCACCCAATCTCTCACATTGGCCACATTATTTATTTGGGAAATGACTGCAACGATTATATTATCCGCTTTAGTCAAATTTAATTTTGACTTAGCGAGATTGTCATTTATCCCAACTCTTCTCTTGCATTGAGTTGTATTTTTCTTGAAGGTTTTAATATTATCATTGGATATGTGACTATGTCTATTCACATACCTGTGTTTTGACATTAATGTCTGCCAAAGTTGTAGATGCAGTAACGTATTTGCAACACCATGGATATCTGGCAGGACAGCTGGAACAGTAGCAGTAGAGACAACACCAAAATTGGTAGCACCATCAAAAATTTTCGTAGTAGTATTACTTGCCATAGTTTCTTAGATTATAGGGAAATGACACGGAAAAATAACAATAATAATACTGCAATAATATTATTTGTAAGCATACACACGAATTGGCTTGAGTCGTGCTAGGCACTGTCCTAAGAAACTATTTCATCAATGTGAAATGTTTTCCCGGGATTAAACAAGCCCATCTCTATTTATTTAGAGGATACATGAATCAGCAAAATTAAATAATAAATCCAGCAAGTTAGAATAAACTGGAGGGAAGAAATAATAACAAGAGGTAATGATTTGGTCAATAGTGAGATAATTACAGAAATGATTAGCTAAAGAAGAAAGCAATGATAGCTAAGAAAGTGTAAAGAAGACCATTTTTTGTTGATGTCATACGGATGACAAGAAGGCTATTTATAGAGGTACTTGGGGTCTTCTTAAATTGCCAAATGTTTGATTGCATGAAAGATGATTGCTAGTTGTTTATGGCTTAGCCATTTGGCTACTTATCTTCATGCAAAATGCCACATGGTAGGTATTCATAGCCACTTGGCTTAGTAGAGCCATTTGTCACACAATCTTCTAAACCAATGCCACATGTAAAAAGTCTTTTGACAGATTACCAACAATTATCAACAAGTTTATCTTGTAATATTGGTTATTTGTTGACATATACACAGCACGTCTTAAAAAGATACCCCTTAATACAAAAGAAAAGGAAGTGGTAATCACCCTAAGAGGTGCAAAAATCCTTGTAATGGTTCTAACATCATTGGAACACCACATCACAAGAAAACCTCTATGGCTAACGACATCCTTAAATCTGAATCAGATCTTTTAGTATGAATAGTGGGAGGTGGTGACACACAACGACCAATCCTGAAAGACCACTCTTTCGTCTAAGGATGCCTAACCGCCGCACCGATCATTCGGGGGGCGGCAGGACACTGCGAGGTGGGTAGTTTATCTGGGGCGGATGTTACATCGACAAATTGGATCCAGCTCTTACAAGAAGTGAAGAATGAATATGCACATTGAGCTCTCCGACCGTAGTTTTGAGGGCTTCAAGGTACTCGAAAACAATTACCTGGCTTGTGGGCTGATCCCATGTTGAATCAGTTGAAATGTTACTGAAGAGAGACAGAGACCGGACCTTCTCATATTGTCCAGAACCTGATGCCCAAATCCTGGAAATGCATAGAAATCCTTCTGAAAGATAGTAGAAGCTCTCAACTCAAACAAACAAATGAACTGATAAAGGCTATATAGGAATCACAAGACAAGGATTCAAGAGAAGTAGACAAACATTCGCCTGAAACTAAAGAAACTGCATAACACTTAGAAGGGAAAAAAAGACAGTAGCCATCACGTAGAAAGTTTTAGTCACCACTGTATTTGACATTACTGGTGCGCCGGCGTGGGACATATAAGATTATCAAACTGCTTTAGTAGCACAAACCCAAAATTGGAGAACATTACCGGGACAAGCATTACAAACTTGCTGGAATTCAGTCATACTATCAGCAGGCTCAACATCCGAACTGAGCGACTGCGGAGAGAAATGATACCAAGCACCTCACTAAATTAATGATTCTAAACATCTAGAAGTGATATTTCTGTTACAGTATTAGTTATAATGTTATTGTACAGCGAACAAGAAAGAGAACTCTTCTCCAAATTCCCCCACCATTTTTCATAGGTGAATGTAGAAATGCTAAAAAATTGACTACTCAATCTACACAATTTTCTCAGTTCTGATTAAGCTCCCCTTGGGGTAAACTAATTGCGTCACAGTTGCCAAAATTCACCAGGGGGAAACTCCTTGCTTCCATCGTGGAGCGGACCAAAAAAATTCCAGAGTTAACTATCAGATAATCAGCTTGCAAGACCAAACTACAAGCAACAGGATCTCAGAGCAAAACGTCAAAAGTCATCTGGACCATCATCTTTCATCACTGAATTGGGACCATCATCAAATCCAGAACCTGGGGCAAGCTCATTAAGATCAAGAAAGCGCCTTTTCCCTCCACTTTCAACATCATCTTGATCTGGACTGCTTGTTCTCTTTGGTACATTGTTTTGATCTGTTGTTTCCATCTCAGATGGTACATCAACAGGTTGCTCAGTTTTCACCTCCTGATTGTCATAGTTTTCCTCTGTGTTTTCACTTCCCATCGAGAACTCAGCATTATCACTTGCATCATATTGCTCTTCGGATCCATTTGACTTCTCAGGTTTCATTGACTCGGTCTCAGATTCTGACAGCTCTAAATGGCTATAATTGATACGGTTTCTGGTTGCCCTGTTACTGCGTCTTAAACCTGACTGAAGGTTGCCCACTGACCTCAACTTGGTTTCTCTTCTTGTACGACCGGGCAGTTTCTTAAATCTCCGTGGCTCATCGCTCTCGTCACTGGCACTTAGGGAATCTGCTTCATCTTCATCCTCCTCTTCTTCATCTTCAGGATTTTCTTCATCCCAGTTGTACTCATCATCTCCTTCCGAGCTACTTGACACCTTCCGATGTTTTCGTTTCCTTAAATATTCTTCATCATATACTGCTTCACCCATTATATCATCATCACTGTCAAGATCTGCCTCATTTTCAGATATTGCTTCAACAAACTCTGATGCAGAATAGCGTTGGGGTCTCTGCCTCCTACGATTGCTGCATGTAAGAAGAGTACCAGTTAGTCATTGAAGGAAAGAACCAAAGAGATCTCAAAACACGTGGAGCAAGTACCTTCGATCTAATAGTTCATCTTCATTGTCTTCGTCATATTCATCGTATTCAGGTGATTTAGGAGAACGCACTCTGAAAGACACATGTTGAGACAAGTGTGGTGGACTACCCAATCTACCATTTGTAGAAGTTTCATGCTTCGTAGCAGCTTCTCTCCTCAAAGTAGGTTCTGGGGATGGTTGATTCTTCCTGAAAGGAGACAGGAAAGAACAAACATGTCAGCATATTACAGAAGACACAGACAGGGGGAGAGACTTTCCAATAGAAAATCATCCTTACTTGGTTAGCTTGATAGCCTCATTAATTGACCGATCGTAATCATCTGTGCAATACCCATTGTCCAATTAGACGTCAAATACTTGACCATCACACAAGCAGAACCAAATAAAATGCACTTACCAAATGTGTAGGTCACAGGCTTCCTACCCCGCAATGCGCGTCCACCACCAAGACCATCCATATTTAGCATGTTATCAAGCATCAAGGCCTGTCTATGTTGTTTCTTCAGCAATTTCTCTTTCCTCTGCACAAAACACAATCTCAGTACCGGTAGTCCCATAATATGAAGTCAATGAAAAACAGAACAGCTCAGAGCTTAGGACAATGAATCATAGATTACCTTGTGGATCCTCTCAACCTCAGGAAGCATGTCATTTTTCAACTTCTTTCCAACAGAAGCCTCCGTTCTATTTTTACTCGAGAATAGCTTCTCCTGTAGTCACAATGAAGGGACTTCACAAAGAGGTGATAGTGCTTAACCTCCAAACAAAAGGTGGTTACAACTTTCAAATTGCTTCATTTTAGTAAGGGAGCTCAATTCCCACTAGTTACAATCTTAAATATTCAAAAAAAAAAAAAAAAAAAAAATAGTAGGGAGCGAAAATTTTGAAATGGAAATTGCAAGGTTCATCTGAAAAGCTTACTAATTCAAATCAAACCGTTTTCAAAACCTGCTGTTAGCTAAACATAGCCCAACCATGAAGTGAAATAGGACAGTTAATCATTCAGACTGCAATTATCAAAAAAGAAATGCCTTTTTGACCCAGATTTAAGCTGACAAGTAATCAACGCAGTTAATAAAAGATAAAAACACAACCAACCACATTTTCAAATAAAAATAATCTTTTAGGAATAGGAAACAAAGATGTACTTGTGTAGAGTTGATTACCAGACCACCAAAGATGATTTCCGTGGATGCAACTGCTCTTTGTTTGAAGTTTTATTTGCAGTACATTGTTACCTTATGCGTTTTGTACTTCCAATTATTTCTTTTTTTCTTTGTTTTAAAATCTCAATAGTTCTTAGTCTTCCCTAGTTTGCTTACGCCCATTTCTTGGTGCCAATTCTTGGTAAATCTGAAAAATCCAAAAGTTGCTTACCTGTTTTTTCTCTTTTTTTACCCTGTGAAGAATGCTGTTTGTCATCTTTTGAGTGTGTAAAAATATGGAAGCAAGTTAAGCATCATGATGCATTTGTTTTCCTATATTCATTGGTCAGAGCAAAAAGTTTTAACAAACATCTGAGTATAATATTACTTTTCTGTGATGAGTTTGCTTGATTAATAGTATTAACCTAACTATCTCTCTTCCATCAGAGAGTTCTTGTAGACAAACTCATATTTATTGTTTCATGAATTTATATGAACTTATCTCTCTCTTTTTTTTTTTTTTTTGCAGAAAGCAAGGTAAATCTCAATAAGTTTATGTTCTTATCAAGAACAAAAAAAGAATCATGATAATTTTGTGATTTCATCTACTTTATAGTTATTAGTGTCTATCCAATACACCAATGCAGCACTCTCAAAATATGCTATATGCACTAGCTCAATCATATCATTGAGGGTAAAATGAGAAGTTTAAAGTCAAAATGTTTCAAAAAATAGAAAGGTGTCATTCTTTTTGGGACAAACTAAAAAGAAAAGAGTATCAAAATAATTTGGGACAGATGGAGAGTCAGATTCACAATTTCAAAAGTTAACGAATTTGACAATTTGAAAAATTATAAAAGTTGTATAAAGTAATAATACTAATCAAATAGTGTACATTTTGAGACGTCCCAAAATCAAACAATTGGAGTATAAATTGAAAAGAGGAGGGAGTATATGATAGGAGAGCAAAGAGCAAAATTCCAGAGCAAGGGACTACCTTTAATCAGATACCAAAACCGCAATAGATTAAGCATGATTGTGGAACTCAAAGATATTCAGATCCTTTTAAGGACATTAATACTAACGAATCCAGGACCTTAGTATCCTATAATTCTTCTCAAAGCATTGGTGCACAGACGCAGGAGATTGTGACAATCATTTTTAAGAATTATAACATAATGGATTGAATATAAGCAACAGGCCATGATAAGAACTTACCGAAACATCCCCGAATTCATCGAAATTAGTTGCAACAGTTTCCCACTGGTAACATGAGTGAGGTATTGCCGGAACATTCTTGCCCTTCCCTTTCTTGACTTCAACCTTTCTAATCTCTCGGTACAATCGATGCCCAATGACAGGATCATCCTCATACCTGTAAATGAAGTTAAAAGCAAACAGACTTTTCTAGTGAACAACATCGACCATATGAAAATATCTATTCTCCACTTAGTGCTGTGAGAACCTATAAACAGTATTACGAAATATCTAAGAAAAATGGAAGTATTGCAAGTGAAGTTATCTACCAGTACGAAATTCCATGAGAATCACCGCCAATACGTTCTTTTCGGAAAAGTGAAAGGCGAACACCTTGTTTCAAGGAGTCGTCTATGTAGTTACGAATATCTTCTTGCTGCAAAATAACCAACCATATTGGGACCTCAAATGAAATTAAAAACTTCAGTAGGGTTAGACATAAAATCCAAAGAAAGCTACGTAAGTATGTATATTATTCAGTACTAGGTGCTCAAGAAGGGTTTAAAGGACTACTCTGCCTCATCACATCTTTGTTTATAAATTAAAAAGAACTTTGCCTCACCACATTCCATCTAATCCTTGATCTTCAGACTAAAATGCTTTTTTTTTTTTTGATGACCGAGAAATCCTTCTGGGGCTGATCCTTTGGACCAACCGCAGCCTTCGAAACTCGGTGGATAATGGGCCCGCCCCTCTACCCTTCTCCACTTAAATACCAGGCTTTGCTTTGCATGGTGTGGGGGCTTGAACCTGTGACCTAAGACACAAATCCACCACCCTTTGCCACTTGAGCTAGGCCCTGGGGGCAGACTAAAATGCTTTTTATACTTCTCTTTTCCTATTGACAGAAGAAAATTACATGTGGTGGACCAATCTCTATCATTTGGTCCAATAATGTGCTGCACTAGAAGATTCCAAAACCAGATATTTGAATCTCATTGAAGATCACTTGGACCACATTATGAAAAATAGGCTAAAGGTATATTAACAATCACCCAGCTTAACCGTTTTGGTAATTTGAAGTGCCTGCTTCTCTTCCTTTTCTTCTTTTGAGAATAAATGCTCTATTATAAACGTTATAGATGCCCGTATGATGCAGGAAAGTCCTGTTTACTCAAGTTTTCTTCCTTTTCCCCCTCTTTTCTCTGCTTTTTTTTTTTTTTTTGGGGGGT